GATTATTTTGGCAGACCCACACCCTCTTCTTCTTTGCTGCAGCTTGTCTCCTCCTCATCATGAGATACAACAAAAGCCAGACCTTTTCACTAACATGTAGATAGATACATCGAGCATCCAAGTCCACTGCATGAAAAACTAATTAATATCTGCTAGCCACCTCCTGGAAAGCTTTTTGGCGCCCAATATGTGTGCAATTTGTGCCTGTGTGCCCTCCTCCCCTGCGCTGTGCCAAACCCCCACAGTGAGCGCAGCAAATACCACAGCCTATCTGAAAGACCTTTAACTGAGAAACAAGAAAGAGCACTAAAAAAGTATTAATATTAAAAAATGACAATCTTCAGATTTTTGTTAGCGTAAGTCTTTTTCAAAGCCAAAGTTGTTTTTTAGTGACAATCTTCAGATTTTTTGCTGATGTCAATGTTTTTTCTTTCAGTTTCACTTGTCTTGCTGTGTGTGGGAGGGCTTTGAGGGGCAAGGCCAAGGAGAGTGTGTTTTGCAAAGTCTGGTTGAGAGCCATGAGGAGAGGACAGCCCTCTCCCCTGAGCTTCTGCTTGCCAACCATGGCTGCCAAGTTACGCTAGTGGCTTACCTGAATTCAGCTGGAGCTCTCAAATTGATGTATGTTTCCCTCTACCAGTGTCTTTACTCACAGAACTGAGCTACATTAAAACTCACTTTTAACTAACATTATGCTGGTGTGGCAGAGGTTCACTGCGGCAAGTGCTCATGTTAGTTACAAGTAGCTATAGCTAATATAGCTAATGTTAGCTGTAACTAACATCATCAGTGCACAGTCACTTATCAGAGACTTTCTGTGAGATCTTCTGGGACTCTGTCCTACACAGTAATGTTTGATACACCATGTGGAATGGGGCTAATGCTCTTTAGGCCTGCCTGGAGCAGAAAAATGCCAGTAGAGTGAAAGAGATGACGCTGAAGTTGGCTTCTGATTCGACAGTTAAGGGAACCGTGTTACAATACAGAGTGACATTTTCTCTGTTTTCCATCCATCCATCCATTATCTATACCACTTATTCCTGAATAGAGTCGCAGGGGGTTGGAGCCCAGCTGACATTGGGTGAGAGGAGAGGTACACCCTGGACAAGTCACCAGTCTATCACAGGGCTGACATGTACAGTGGGTACAGAAAGTATTCAGACCCCCTTAAATTTTTCACTCTTTGTTATATTGCAGCCATATGCTAAAATCATTTAAGTTCATTTTTTTCCTCATTAATGTACACACAGCACCCCATATTGACAGAAAAACACAGAATTTGACATTTTTGCAGATTTATTAAAAAAGAAAAACTGAAATATCACATGGTCATAAGTATTCAGACCCTTTGCTGTGACACTCATATATTTAACTTAGGCTCTGTCCATTTCATCTGATCATCCCTGAGATGGTTCTACACCTTCATTTGAGTCCAGCTGTGTTTGATTATACTGATTGGACGTGATTAGGAAAGCCACACACCTGTCTATACAAGACCCTACAGCTCACAGTGCATGTCAAAGCAAATGAGAATCATGAGGTCAAAGGAACTGCCTGAAGAGCTCAGAGACAGAATTGTGGCAAGGCACAGATCTGGCCAAGGTT